TACATACTGTCTGGCAGTCCCTTGCCTTTGAAAAGGCAAGGGACTGGGAATTCCCTGGCGGTCCAGTGGTTAGGACTCCATGCTTTCACTGCCGAGGGCGTGGGTTCAATCCTTGGTCGGGGAATTAAAGTCTCGAAAGCCCAGAATAAATAAATAAATAAAAGAAAGGCAAGGGACTGCCAGACATTATTCATGATCCGAGGTCCCTTGTGGGTGGGAGTGGGGGATGCCACCGGGGAGGAATATTGTTCACCTTCCAGTTTTTAGGTTGGGTGCTGGTCTCATTTGTTCTTCGTCATTATGTTTCGTGACCTCCATAAATTACATATATATACATACTTTTGCATGTATAATACTACATAATTTACACTTATAATCTTAACCTAGTAACGTTTATTCTTTTGGGCTGTGGCTCCTACCTGTTGACTAGAGGTCTGGTGCTGGTCTGAAATTTCAGCTGGTATCGTCTGAGGCAAAGAGAGAGAACAGAGTGAGTTTTATAAAGTGAAATTGATTCAATTTCAAGGATTGTATATGTCCTTGAATTACATCCTCCCTACTTGATTTGGTGTTAAAAGGACCTTTAAAAATAAAATCAGAGTGTTAAAAGGGTGCAGTTTGTTGTCTTATTTGTTTTATTGTCCTTACAAAAGGAAAACAGAAACAGTAGATGTCCTTGTGTAAGGTCATTACCATTTAAAAAAACATGTTTTCAGTGATCCTTGAAATAAAAAATTCTAGGAATTGTTGCTTCAGAGAACACAGTACTGTGTTCAGTAGCCAAACACCAGGGCTGATGACACTTAGGACAGTGATTTCACTCACCTCCCTTTCCAGAGAGTAAGTCCTCCACTGTAAAAAGCTCATTTAGAGATGTGAGTAAATTTGAATAACTCAGCAAAGACATAGTCTCAGCTCAGAGGAGCTCGATTGTCAAATACCGCTAACGATGCTTCCAACTACCATTTGCTGAGCCCTTCCTCTATCACTGACTGTCTTGTACAGATTGTCTCACTTAATCCTCAGAAATGTTGTTATTCCCATTTAATTGATAACTGAAACTTTGGCTGATATCTTACTTGCTGTCACCTGAGTAAGATAAGCGGGAGCTGGATTTCAAAACCATGTTGTCAGCTTCACACTTCGTCCACATTCTTGGCTACTACCTTGCTACTGCCTATTCCACACACGGCACCATCTTTGAGAAGCCAGATGCAGGGGCTACAAAATAGGTACTGAGCGCTGGATCCCCACCTCAGCCCTTTCTCATTTTTCTTGAATTGTCTGATGTTTAAGGAGCCCAGGTCACAGAGCTCAAAGGGGAAATGCTAAGCTCATTGGGACCCTTGCCGTATTACGGTGGTGGTCTTTAAATGCACATGTAGGCAGTGACCTAATTGTACTTATTTCCTGTATCCCTATGAGACATTAGCAAATGCACTGTGTAACTTTAATTGTGGGCAGAAGATCTGGGGAGAGAGGAGGCATTCCAAGCAAACTCCAATGACCAGTAGCTGAGGTCTCGTGGGAAGAGTGAGGAAGATGGTGTAGCTTTGAGCTAAGAGGCACGAGGAGAGGTTCAGGCGACAATAAAGAGTTTAGGTGGGAGAGCTTGTAACGAGGTGCGCAGCAATCAGAGACTCACGGGGGGCTGAGGAGACCATGCCTCTCTTCCAAGAAGGATTAAGGAAAAGCAGGAGGAAGTGGAGTGCTTCAAGACCGACCAGAGGAGAATTGGGGAAATGTACATATAAGGCAACGAGTTCTAATTCGCACGGTAATAAAATGGAAGGCTTTGAACTATGTTTCTTTCCACTTTCTCATTTTTAGATTCTTTATCCATCTATTCACATCTGTCTGTGAGTGGCTGCCAGGATCCTTCCTTAGTCACACACACTGCCTCCCAGGATTTCAAAATCCCTCCTCCTTAAGAACTGCGTGCAGTTTCTCCCCTTCCTGGCAAGGTCGGACTCCCCTTCTCTCTTCCTCTCTTGCCCTCCCTTCTCATCTTGTGTCAGTTGCCTCTTACCGTGTAACAAATCACCCAAAACTTGGTGGCTTCAAACAGCAAGGTACTGTTATCATCTCTCACGGTCTGGTCAAAAGACTAGGATGAACTGGGTGGCCCCCCCTCAGGGTCTCTCATGCAGTTGCAGTCAGGTGGTCACTGGGGTTGGGATCATCCCGAGGCTCCAGTGGGTTGGACATCCAAGATGGCGTCTTCATACCATGGCTGGTGCCTCAGCTGAGGTGGCTGGGGACTGACTGGGCTCTTCCCGCCCTCCTTCCTTCTCCCTCTGTGTCTCTGTGCGCCACACAGCCTCTCTACGTGGTTACCTCAGACTTCCTCATAGTCTAGGGGGTTCAGAGTAGTTGCACTTCTTACGTGGTAGCCATCTTTCCTTAGACGTGCATTCCAAGACACCTAAATGGAAGGAAGTTCCAAGCTTATGACTTAGCCTCAGAATCACTCAGCACCACTGTTGCTGCCTCTTATTGGTCCAGAGAAGGTCACAGAACCAGCCCAGGGGAGAAGGGACCACCTAAGGGTGTACATACAGGAAGGTGTGGTTTACTGGGGGTGGTATACCTCTCCAAAGACTAACATATTTCTCATGTATTGAAATATCTCTCCCTTCTCTCCTCCTTATAACTGAAATATCTTGTCACTGTTTTATTTTTAAGTCACTGTTTTATATCTTGCTTCACATCCATAGTTTTTCTTTCTGTTGTTTATGTTAAGAGTGATTGGAAGACTTCTTTGAGGAATTCTTATGCATTCTCTCAAAAGAATCTTTTAAGAATATGCTTTCATTTCTTGATATTGAAATTTTTCAGCACCCAAGAGGCCCTATAGAAAAGCTGTGTGACTATTTTTTAGAAAGACTCTTTGGGAAATCAGATTCGATTCACTTTTTAACCACTGATGATAACATATCAAACTGAAAAGGCAGATCAGTTTTAGGGAAAAGTGATCCACCATCAGGTGTGGGTGTCCTTGAGTGAACTCCCCAACAATATTGCTTTTCATGCTTAGCCACTAATTAAAAAACCTGTTCTCTTGTTGGGACTGAACCATGGTTTACTTTCTGGCTGGACCTTTTTTTTTTTTTTTTTTTTTTTTTAACTTATATTCAAGCTCTTACGCAAGCCAAAGCTTACTGTTTTTTAACAACTCCCTCACCCCGCCCCCCACCCCCAGAAAAGGGATAACTTGAATCTAAAAGATTTGTTGCACAGTCACATGGCAGTTTCAGAAATTCTTTATTTAAAAACCTCGTACCGATGGATGGCTTAACTTTCCCAAGCTTCTGCAATGCCATCGAGGTCTCAGGTTCGTGTAAAGTTATTGGCTTGAAAGGAGCTTAATCTGCAGAGCTTTTCTCTGGTGATTATGGAGAAACAGCACATGGGGGAGAAAGTGGGCCATTGGAGGTGGCAAATAACTTGATCTTTTTTTTTTTTTTCCTACCCACAAGCCCTGGAAAAACTCTGCCATCAAGGATTAATTTGCTCATGAGATTTTACTGCGGTTGCCATTAAGAAAAACCTAACAGGAGCAGCAGGGCAGAAGCATTTCTGAGCTCTGGGGAAAGGAGTCAGGATTTGTGGTGGGAAGCAGGGTGCTCGTTTTTCTCTCCTACAACGATTATGAGTTAAGCATCCGAGGTTGATAGCGTTTCTCTCACCCAGGACTTTGTATAGAGCCATCTGAAGGCTGACTCTGAAGCATGACAATCAGTAGTTTGTAGTTTTCCATAGTTTGTCTTTATGCAGGGAAAAATTTCATTAAAAAAAAGCTTTTAGGGAGTTCCGTGGTGGTCTGATTGTTAGGATTCGGCGCTGTCACTGTCATGGCCTGGGTTGGGGAACTGAGATCCTGCAAGCCGCGTGGCATGGCCAAAATATGAAAAAAAAAAAAAAAGCTTTTAGACTCGATCCTTTCCCAGTTTTTTAAAAAAAGCCTTAGGGCTTCCCTGGTGGCGCAGTGGTTGGGAGTCCGCCTGCCGATGCAGGGGACGCGGGTTCGTGCCCCGATCCGGGAGGATCCCACATGCCGCGGGGCGGCTGGGCCCGTGAGCCATGGCCGCTGAGCCTGCGCGTCCGGAGCCTGTGCTCCGCAACGGGAGAGGCCACAGCGGTGAGAGGCCCGCGAACCGCAAAAAAAAAAAAGGCTTAGACAATCGCATGTTATCCCGTTGGTGACGTGTTTCCGCAACTCTGTCCTCATACGTGGGTTCTACATGCAGGTTAAATAGAGACCCCGGCAGCTTCACAACCCAGAGGGTCCCTCCCCTCAGAAGCGTTCAGCCCTCAGTTTCCTCCAGTAGAGGGAGGGCAGTGGACTTTAGTTAGAGCAATATTTTCTATGAAATTTCACACTAAACCCCTAAACAAAAATTCCCCCTGGACATCAGGCAAAATATGAGGACCGTTCGAGCTTCAGACCCAGGCAGAACCCGCTGCTCACCCCCATCTCCGACCACGGAACACCCCTCCCCCAGCAAAGGTTAGCTCAGGGCTGCCCTTGGTCTTGGCAACTGCTTGGTGGGGAGAGAAGGAACCAACCTGAGGGGATAGGAGAGCAGCAGCAGGAAAGGGGGGCTGGGAGGGGACAACGGAGCCAGGACGGCAGAGGCGTTCTTAGTCACTGTTGCCTGGATCCCTCCAGCTTCCCTGGGAAGCCCTCTTCCTCTCATGCTGCAGATGAGGAAGCCGGAAGACAAGAGTTTAAATAACTTGCTGTCATGCAACTTGGTTAAATAGTTTTAAGTCGTTAAAGAGAATCTAAGCATTGTATTTAATCCCTGGGGAGAATGAAGGATTTTTAATCTCAGCCTGGCAGCCTAGCCCGTGGTTCTTTCCACCACCCACTGATCCCTCTAATAAGGGTAACGGTAAGCCGCTTAGGAATGAAAACGGGGGAACTTTCTAGATGTGAGCCTGTGGCACTTAGCCAAGTAACGATAGTTGTCACTCTCTCTTGTTTAATCCTATAGTGGAGGACGACAAGGAGTTCTCCCCTCGCCAGCGACACCACAAAGAGTTCAAGTTCAACCTATCCCAGATTCCCGCGGGTGAGGCGGTGACGGCTGCAGAGTTCCGAATCTACAAGGACTGTGTTGTTGGAACGAGTTTTAAAAACCAAACTTTTCTTGTCGGCATTTACCAAGTCTTACAGGAGCAGCAGCACAGGTACGGAGGCTCGAGGAACCCCAAAGGGTGGGGCTGGCCCCCGTTTGTCACCCCGTCACCTTATAACCCCGACTGTGTCTCTGCAAGGTGGCTTGGAGTTCAAGGGCAGCACACGGGCGTGACGGGGGCTGTGTTCCCAATGGTAGCGTTGAGCCAGCAAGACGACTTTTTTGCTCTTAAGGTGAAAATTTCCCCAATAGTTTTCTTTTCTGAAGCAAGCCAGTGAATGGTATCTACTAAGCATCCTTTGTGTTCGGAAAACATATAACTCACTGGGACTAAAATGTTTCCCGCTATGTTTTAGTCCCTACTTCGAATGGTGGATGAGGGTGGCTAACATAAGTTCGCACATGGAAATTATATGAGGATGCTTAACTGCAAATGCTGCTGATTCAAGCGAATAGAAGGCTGTGTGCTTGTGCATGTAATATACACATATATGATATAATATGTCTTTGAGTAAGTGAGTGTGTGTGTATATGTGTGTCTCAAATGTATTTTTTATCATGTAGTTGCAAGGGACCGGTAGACTTTTTTTCCCATGTCTGTATTATTCTTGTTTCTTGAAATGAGGCCACACTGTTTGACAGAAGAGCTGTGTTCTTGGGGCTGCCTAGCAAATAAAGGAAAACTTCCGTGGAGTGATTTTTAGAGCCTCGGAGGGGCTAAGGGATGAATTATTACAGCAGTTATTTCAGTCCTACATACAGCACACAGAAAACAAGCCCATGACCTTGAACTTTGCTTGTATGTAGGGCTCAGTTGAGTGGTCTGGCCAGAACAGAGAGTCCGATGCAGAGGTCAGCACTGCCCATGGTTCTCAGAGGGCAGCAGGTAGGAACTCGGCCCGTGATGGTACATTCTGCCAATTGTATGGTAAATACGAAGATAAAAGGGAAAGGAAGAGAATGCAGAGGAGAAGGGACATTTATGTCCTCTGTTTATGGACTCTGTTAGCTTTGGTTTTATAAACCACCTCCAGATTCTTGCTTTTGGTCCTGGAAATCTGTTAATTTCCCAAGAAGGTCCAAAAGTTTGGATTAAGAAGGTCCAAAGGAAGGAGTCGGGTCTCTCCTGAACTTACGGATCTGTGTGTGGGTCTGTCGCAAATACACACACTAAAATAACAAACGTGAACTTGCCCCATACAAGGACCATCTTGAGAGCATTGCCAACATTTGGCCCCAATGCGTATTCAAGTCTGTAATGAGGGAACTGGAGAAGGAGGGACATGCCAGGCCGTGGGGACATGTCCTGGTGTTGGACAGACACACGGATGGCTGTCTGTGAATTCTTAGCTGTGGCAGTTAAGTAAAACAGGGCCATTGCAGGATCTTTATAACAGACCAGAATGTCAGAACGGAAGGCAGGTTTTCTGATGTCTGATGTTCGCTCCTAAATAAAAGTGTATTCATTGACTTAACTCTTAAGGGCCTCTTTTGAGTAAATTATTCGTTGCTAGATTATTCGTTGCTAGATTTTCATCTTTCAATATTTCAGAGAGAATTGCTATTCAGTGATTCTTCGGAGCTGCTTTAGCCATTGGTTTTCAACCTGCCGAAGTATTGGTCCCATAGCCTTTCTCCGATGGAAATAACCTGCTGGAGCCTTTTTGGGCTCAGACATTTGTTTGGAAAACATAGTTTTCTGTGTTCTGCAGGAAAAGCTTTAGGGTGAAAACACTAGGTTGGAGGTTTTGTGACTAATGGATTTTTTTTCAAAATTATTATTATTTTAAAAAAGAGAGAGAGCACGCGCTGGCGGACCGTTTGTAAGGTTTACGCTGAACTCCAGCCAAAAACGAACAGCTGCCTTCAGCCTCAGATCGTGGTGTCACGCTTCCTCCAGGCCAGCAGCGAGCTTGGAAAACAAAACTCCCAAATGGTCCCAACCTTTGCTGACTCCGTGTCAAAGCAGAGTTGTAATTTCTCTGCGTTTTAGGATGGGAGCATTTGGTGATTGGATGTGTTTAATTTTTGTGCATAGGAAAAGGGGAAATCCTGGGAGAATTGGGAGAATTTCATGCTTTTAAAGAGTTCCAGGTTGGCCAGGAGAAGATTTTCTTATCAGTGGGCCTGGAGCCCAGGCTGCCTGCGGTTTGCTCATGTCCTTCCAGAGGCCTCCAGATTGAACTGTGGGACCCCGTCTGGGGAAGGTTCGATCTCCCCATCTTGGGGTGTCTTGGCTGAAAAGGACCCTCCAGGCCTGTGAAGAAACGTAGCTGCCTAATCCGTTTCAGTGAAATTTGTAGCATTTGATGGATCAGCTTAACACACGTGTGTGTTGCAAAAGAGTTGGCCTCCTTGGAAAAGAAAAAAGGCAGGTGTTTCAATGCTGAGTCATACCCTCAGCTGAGGCAGGAGAAGTTCTGTGTTGGGCCTCCTGGTGTAAAGGGCAGCTCGGGAGCCTGACCCAGGGAGGGTCAGAAACGATTCTTGGAAGATAGGCCATTGCTGTGAACTCTGCAGAAACCTTATTTCTCTGACTGGTAAGAAATCACTGGACCAGGTAAGTTCAAAAAAGTGATGAGTTGAAGAGATGGTGCTTTGAGGTAAGACAGGGTAACAACTGATACAGTATTCAAAACCTGAGAATAAGCCAAGAGATGGAATCTAAGTCCTGAAAAGATCTGGAGCAACTCTCAGAGTGGAGTGGGGTTGGCAACCCCACAGCATACGCAGTCCTATCAGAGGAGCACAGGGGACCCTTTGTAGTTTACTTTACAATTTTAGAGTATGGTGTGGGGTTGATACCTTAAGATGAGTTTGGTGTTACTGTCTGATGTAAGAAATTGTTATGTTTTTATGATGACCTTGGTGGAAACTGGCATTTATACAGTGCTTAGGGTTTGGGAAAGACCTTCCCCCACGTTCCTTCCTTAGGATTTAGCCATGACCCCATCAGACAGCTGGTCAGGATGAAACGTGGCGCATACGGATTTTGCCAAGTCCAAATTAGGCCTGATCTGTGATCTGCTTTGATTCCCTCAAAGTCATCCCAGTGACATGGGGACAGTCCTGAGATAAAGGTGAAGTGCCAGAAAGAGGTAAGCGGTCCCCTTATGGCATGCCTTGCATCTTCATCTCCTTAGCTTGGATGCGAACATCTCAAGGATGCTTCTGTTTGGATGGCATAGGAGACAGCTCCGTTGGGGGTAGAAATCGGGGGGGGGGGGGAAAATTCAGGCCCTGGTACTGATACTTGGGCTTTCAAGGCCTTGCGATGGAAAACCTCTGCAAAGCTTCGTTGATCTTTTGGTCAACCATGGATCTACTAGCAGTTCTTCTAGAGGAGGGGGTGTGGAGGAGAAAAAAGACTAGAATAAATTTACATAAAAGTACTTGTCCTCCGCGATGAAGAGTGGCCCCCGCTTGCCACAACTAGAGAAAGCCCTCGCACAGAAACGAAGACCCGACACAGCAAAAATAATAAAATTAATTAATTAATAAAAGACTTTGTTTAAAAGCAAAAAAAAAAAAAAAAAAGTACTTGTCCTTATTCACAGTATTATATCTTTGTCCATTTATTTTACCATTTTCTCCCGAATCTCATACACACTAAGCTTTCTTCATACTTGGAGGGTAAAGGCTGCTCTGATTAACTGTCAACCTTCCATTGTCATGTGTAGTAGTGTGACGGTAGCATGTTGCTTTTCATAACATGTACTCATGATCTTTACTTTTATAGCACCTATAGATTAATAGTGCAGTTTGGGGGCCTTTAAGAATATCATTTGCATCTACATTTCTATCTGGTGAAAGACATACTTTGACTCTTCTTATTCAATTTTGTATATCTGGAAGTCAAAGTCAAACAGCATCTCTTGAAAGCCAGCCAGAAATTTTTTCAGTGTCTGAAAGATGGTTCTGCTTGGTACATGAACTGGCCACACGTGCCTCTGATAGTTTTGACATCCCATATTCTACTCTCTATGGTTTGGCAGTTGTATTGCCTGGCAGTGATAATCTATCTTCTGTGTATAGGATAACTTTTCTTTTTTGTGTTCTATCATGGTGCAGTCCTTTGGAAGACATTTAAAGTGAGAATTAATTACCAAATTCAAAATTCAGTTCCTCCTGGTATAAACAATATCACGACTCTGTTTGCAGACAGGCAAAGCAGGGTTTTTTGTTTTGTTTTTGTTTTTTCAGTTTGGTCCATATGTTTCATCCTAACTTTAGAATCCTTAGGATTGGAAGATGTGCATCTTTGAATCAAGGGAACAGGGCAATGCTGGTTTTTCAAACCAAGAAAGATTTCCTTAGGCCACCCAGAGGCCATGCAGGTGGAGTCCCCAGAAACAATGCCAGACTGAATTATTGTTTAAAGTTGTGACCAAGTTCACCCTTTCTGACCTGCTTTTTAAGATAGAATATAATTGTCCCAGCAGAGAAAATACCTGTCAAAAGGCAAAAAAACAGTTTTCCAAAATTTTTAATTTGATTCGCTACTCTGAACCATTCACAGAGATAGGGAATGTAGGAATAATTCAAGGAAGGGGGATGGACATGAGTCCAGGTTGGGACATGTCTGAGTCATGGTTGGATGCCCAAGAGGCAGTGGGATATGGGAGTGTTTAGATCAGCAGAATGAGTTAAACTCTACAGGAATGGGTATTTGAGATCACAGGTGAACTACAGATGTAGATTGGATAGCTGTGTAAGAATAGAAAAACCTGACTGACCCTGGACCATTTATTAAAAATACTATCTTTTTTCCATTCACATCAGTGGCATTTTTGTCATGTATCAGGTGACCACGTGTGTTTGGGTCTGTTTCTGAGATCTTTATTCTGTTCTATTGATTGATTTTTCTCATATCAATAAAAACTCTGATTCTTTTAGTTTTGTAAGAAGTCTTAATATCTGGTGTGTAAGTTCTCCAAATTTGTTCTTTAAGATTTTCTTGGCTATTGATGGCCCTTTGCATTCTCATATATATTGTAAACTCAGCATTTCAATTTCCACAAAAGAAACTTGCTGGGCTTCTGTTTGGAATTT